GGTGGCGATATCTTGTACTTGTGGATTCCTTCTAGCTGCTGCTGTTGTGGTTGCTGATCTTGTTGTTGTTCTGCCATGTTACTCGCTACTGTGTACCTCAACCTGTGAGTGCGTGTTGGAGCTCACCCTGGGTAGTGTGGTAGGATCGTGTACCAGGGATCACTGCTCCGCTACCATGTTAAAGTTGGATTGATGTTGTAAATACCTGAAGACCTGTGTGTGACAGCGCGGCACTGGTGTATCCAGGAGGCAAGCTGTAGCTCTACTGTATGTAGGCTCAAGGCCTTGATCATACAGATGTGCAAGGGCATGTACAAGTGAGGATGTATATTAACACAATTGCAGCCCTATATATATATTATAAATGTATATCTACAAATAGCCTTGCTGCATGCAACTCCTCTCCTTGAAAAATATCGGCTCCTGGCTTGGCTACTTGGCCTAGTGTCAGGGCGCTCCTCCGGTGACCAGTCCCTGGGCCCGTTCCAGAATGCGGCGCCCCCGCCCAGGCCAACCTGCAGAAGGCAGCCCACAAGGAGCCCCCTGGACAGTACGCGAAACCTAGAGGGGTTCTCAATTCTGGGAAAAAAGCAAGTGAGACAGACTGTGTTCTGACAATTCATCTAGTTTGGGACACGTTGAAATCAGGGTTGCGCAATGTCGATGTTCCCTCCGTGTCGGGTCCTTGTCAAGCCTTTGACCCCACTTCTCCGAATCCAATTGTCGGCATTGGGCCGATGCCTTGGGGTCCGCCGTGGTCAGGCCGTCGTGCAGCGTCGAGTGGAAGGCCACCGTGTTCCTCGAAACCCGAGCCCTGGGCTTAGGGGGCGACCCAAAGGACCCGGAACACATACGGGCCTTGCCCAGACAAAACCCCCGTGCCTATGGCATTGGCCCAAGAGAGAAGCGCATCCGAACATTCACCTGCACAATCTACAACGCTCTACAAAGCTCATCAAAGCTCCACACTTTGGACCCATCTTTCGGTGCCAACATAGCAAAAGAGCCCAAGGCTCGCTTCCATGATGTCGATCTCAGCGCACTTGAGGCCACAAACGCTCATCGCATCACAGTAGTAGTCCTGCCAAAGGACGTGGAGATGCCATGTCACTTGTTTTTAGCCGGCAGGCCCCGGTAGGCACACGGGACCTGGAGATGCTCTGGTTGAATCGAGCAGTGCTAGGGATGGGATCTGCATTTGGCCTGTGGGGAGTAGAATTCCGAGAGCTTCCGCTTCTCAAATTCTGGCCACAGCGATTGGCAGTCGCGTGGGGAGCAACAGTGTTTGCAGTCACTGCTACAAATATCTTGCCCTGGCGCAGCATCCTGCAAACCACAGAAGTGTTTGCCATGCCCAAAGAGAATTTGCCAAGCAAAAACACTGGAGAGGTTCTAAAGCAAACTGATTGATGCGCAACTTGAAGGTCGAAAGCAAAAGATCCTCCCAGAGAAGTTCTCAGTGATGGCTTCATGGCTATGTCAAAGCATTCCAGTGGGAAGGACGCCACCAAGAAAAGCGTTGGAAAGATACGTGTGTTGCTCAAAAGGGCCGTACAAGCACAGCTCCAAAAAAATAAAAGATGCGTTCGTGTGGGTGCATTCGCCCGCAGAAACATCGTCAAACTAACAGTTTTGCTGTTGAACAAAGTCACGTATGGCTGAGGCCCATGTTCATGCCAAACCTTAAAACGCGCGAGTCTGGCATGCGAACAGCAACCTTGTGTTACCAAACAAAAAGCTTGCGGCAAAACAGTCCACCGGCACCAAGGTGGAAAACACGAAGCCCGGCACGCCACACCTCGCAGTCACTCTCAGACTCTGAGCTCTTCATTGACACCAGGTACAGGGCCGCGTTGCCTCGTCAACTGAGTACTGGATAACTAGTACCCTGGGGTTCCCACATCAGAATTTTACATTCCCCCCACCCGAGACTCAGAGGTCCAAGCTACATCCACAACCTGCTGCGCTCACATCGGCTGTGAATGTGAGGCGCTTCTTTCGCAGTTGCAATGCCGCGTACTCAGACTGCTTGAAGCCTTCCCGCGCGCGGCGTGATTGTGCGCCGGCTGATGTGACATGTGCAACAAAAATGAAGCCCCCTGTTTTTGGGCAGGGGCTGCAACTGTCTCAGGGCCAAAACTAACTGTATGTGGCCCTCGGCACCTCCATGGGAGCAACGCTCCCCCAGATATGCTCGGCCCTTCATCATGGGTGTCACTGTTCTGCCGTCCCCCGAGATGTCGCCAGCATGGTCACCTAGATCCAACAAATCACTGGAGGCCTGCAAGTTGGCTCTTTGGCACTCGTGACTGCAGTGTTCTGTGGACAGCGCACCTGGCATGTTCCACTTCGCCCGCACCAACTGATACTCGCCAAGACCGTTGATGTGCACGTAGCCGGAGCATTTGCTCTCTTCCTCCCACCTCGGGATGCGGAACAGCAACAACGACTTGCTGACAAACGCGCCGAGTGAGTAGCGACCATAACCCATCGACTCTTGGCTGCGCTAAATTTATAGTTCAGGCCAAAATCCCAAATTACACCAGCATCGACCGCAAACAGCACGAAAGCAACGCAGAGCAACGTCTCCAGGCGTGGTACACGCAACGACTGTTTTTCGAGACCCTCATTTTCCTGCTGAGGGCCATGAGCAGGAAACATGAGGGAGACAAGCAAGAGAGAAGACAGGCCGGGGTCACAACATCTGACATGATTCGAGAGACTGCGCAACAAAGAGAGACAAGAAGAAGACAAAACAGGCCATCTAGCATGATTCGGAAGACGCAAGGAGACAACATAGGTCGGCGTCACAGCCTCTTCTGGGAAACAAAGGGAAACAAGAGGGAGACAAGTGGGAGACGAGATAGGCGCCGGCGGCAGCAAGACAAACCGGCAGAACGTCTGACACGACCGGAGACACTGACAAAGGGAGACGGCCGGAGTCACAGCATCTGGCATGACTGGAGAGGCTTGGACACAAAAAAAAACAAAACGAAGACAAGACAGGCAATGTCACAGCAGACTGGGAGACCAAAAGAATTGGAGACAAGAAGACAAGCGGGTGACAAGACACAGAGCCGGCGCAACAGCATCTGGCATGACCAGACAGACTGCGAGACAAGAGGGACACAAGAGTGACAAGACACAGAGCCGGCGTCACAGCATCTGGGATGACCAGACAAACTGGGAGACAAGAGTAACAAAACATAGAGCCAGCGTCGCAGCATCTGGGATGACCTGGGAGACAACAGGGAGACAAGAGGGAGACAAACACGTCACGCAATCTCGCGTGAGACTGGGAGACGAGAGGGAGACAAGAGGGTGACAAAAAACAGAGCGGCGTCACAGCATCTGGGATGACCAGACAAGTAGACAAGAGTGACAGGACACAGAGCGAGCGGCACAGCATCTGCGATGACCAGACAGACTGGTAGACAAGAGTGACAAAACACAGAGCCGGCGGCACAGCATCTGGGTAACCAGCCAGACTGGGAGACAAGAGTGACAGGACACAGAGCCGGCGTCGCAGCATCTGGGATGGACAGACTGGGAGACAAGAGTGACAAGACACAGAGTGGGCGTCACAGCATCTGGGGTAACCAGACAGACTGGGAGGCAAGAGTGACAAGACACAGAGCCGGCTTCACAGCATCTGTGATGACCAAAAAGACTGGGAGACAAGAGTAACAAGACGCAGAGCGGGCGTCACAATCTGGGATGACCAGACAGACTGGGAGACAAGAGGGAGACAAAAGAAGGACACGTGGGAGACAAAGACGTCACACAATCTGGCGTGAGACTGGGAGACGAGAGGCTTCTCAGCTGACCGCCGAGGCTGGGAGGTAGGCTAGTAGGAAGACAAGTGGAAAACACGATCCCTGAGCCAGCGTGACACTTTCCCATTCTTCAAACCTGAAGTTCGAACCCCAATGCTTCGCTGTTTGGGGAAATACTTTTGATTCACCCAATACTAAACCAATACTAAACTCCTGCCAGAAGTTATTAGGGCAATTGCGGCACTTCCATTTTCAATTGTAAACTCAACACGTCAATTGCAATTCAATCTTGACTTTGAATGGAAATTTGCAAATTCCTCCTGACTTGGCAGGGGGGGGTGGATCTAACAATCAGGGGACCGATCTTTGGTTAAACCTTGTCGTAGAACCACCTACTAAAACGCGTCCACACATGCAAACCTCTCCAAGCTGCAACATGGCAGCCCCAAGAGGTTGGTCTCTGCTTCTGCGGCCCACAGCCAGGATCACTAGAGTCACTAGAGCCCCCAGGACAATGCCGGCCGCCTGTCCGCTCAAGGCAGTTGCTCTGCTGAGCTGGCACACGGGAGCGAGTGTGTGCAAGTGTGATGTGTTGGGCGCATCCCGTACTTCCTTGCTCATTCGTTTGGGAATGATGGGCTTGTGTAGCAACTCAGGCAACTTACCGAATCAACTGGTCTGCCCTTGCATGCGCTTGTTCACTGTTCCCCTGTGATAGTCAGATTGGGTAAAAAAAGCACAAACAGCACGCACAAAGAAACGATAGGTCTGATCCAACAAAAACATCAAATGCCACCGATGCACTGGAACATACTGGAACAGCTGCTATCCAGCCTGCCAGCGCAAGGGATGGGACTTGGATACGGGGACCTGGGCCTCAAGCGCGTGTTCGTCCCAGCCATCGCCAGCGTCCTTGGATGCTTTGACGCAGATGTTTACACACGCGATGACCTGCACCCTCCCTGTGGCTCCTCCAAAACAAAAGCTTTGCTTTGAGCCGCTGCTTGGGGTCACCCCATCCATACACATGAAACCCGTCCAAACTTCGCCAAGGTGCTGCCAGCAGCTCAGAGGTCTCAATTGGCGCCATTGGAATCTTTGCCCAATGTCTGAGCCGCTCGAAACTGCGGATGCCTGACAAGAAGCGGGTGGGCATGCTGCATGTCTCAATAGAATGGAACCTGACTTGCACATCACTGAATCACATCTGTCTGGGCTGCCCGCAAGCACTGCTTGCACTGGCTCATCTGCGGCTTGCGAGGACCTGCCGTGTTGCTTAAAAACTTCCGAACAATCTGCTGTCAAAGGCATCCGTATACCTACTCCCTGTGGTTTTTTCGCTGACACCAACACTGCCCACGTTGGTACCTCTAAGGTTGAAACACTGCCAGCTGTACGTGAACTTGCCAACCCGTGCGCGGAGCTCAATGACTTTGCCGGGCCGACGCTTTGAACATCTGCGTCTGTGTCACCCTGAGCTTCTCACGCGGATGTAACTTGGTAAAGCCAAGAGCCTGGTCTTCAAATGTCAAAGGGCCTCAAGTCTGACGCTGCCTCCTGATGCGCCTTGGTTCCCTCGGTTTATTGGAAACAGGTTTCGATCCTGTGTGGATCCAGAGCGGTCCAAACCCCCTCGAACTGGCACTAATGTTTCCTCTGAAATGGATCTCAAAAGAAATCGTCTCTGTGTGTTCACACCTGACACGAACTCCCTGTGCCAAGGCGGCAACGGCGTTTCATGCATCTCCTTCACGTCAGTCATAGCGACGGGTGCGCTGCGCTCCGAACTTAGTCACCCGGAAACCCAATGCCACAGTTGCCGCGGATCGGAAACACGTGACTAACATCGCGCATGTGGATTGATCATACATTGCAGGGTACTTCGTTTGATAGTTTGAAAAAGGGGCCAACACTGTGAATCATTTGTTGACAAGAAGAAAAAAAAACACAACAAACAAAATGACGCTGGAACCTGCTCCTCCGCTCTCAGATGCTGAGCCCCCGTTCTGGTTTTCACCCATCTTCCTGAGAGGCACAAACGGATTGCGTAGAGCACACCTCTTCTTGATCGACACACACCAAACAAGTAAAAGGCACAAGTCAAGGATCTAAGCATCCACATCCTCCCAAACAAAGCCATGAACATGCACAACCTCCCTCGTTCGGAGCCCTGATTCTTGGAGTGGGAATTGGACTTTTTCGAGCAAACCTTATGCCCGAAGTCGCCGAGCCGAGTAACGGAGTCCAATGCTGGGAGCGTGACAGCCAAAGGTTGTTCCAAACAGGAATCCACCGGAAAGTTTGGGGGCACGAACGTTGACTTTGCTTCCGAAGCGAAGGCCCAGCAAGTTGCGTTTCACGCCCCACCCGTTTTGAAGAAACTCTTGTGTTTCTCTCGAGCTCTGTTGGCCTCCTGCTGTTCTAATTGATCATTCATTGTCAATGTATAACTTCAGCGCTGCTCGTTTGAGCCAAGACAAAGTCCTTCACCCAGCAATATGCAGTGAGATAACACAACCCAGCCAATTACAATGCCAACACTCACAAAACCAACTGTTTGCATTGACAACCAACATGGGCCTTCAATGAAAAATTGAAAAGGGGTCAAAGAATGCATGCAAATTGCAGCATGCTGATGACACACTGTTCCACCGCGTCATTGACACACTGTTCCGCGCGCCCGTGCTTGTGAATCTTAGTTAACTGAAGGGGTTGGTTGTCAGTCAACTTCAACATGTGTAAATAGTCTCACCAAGTCAAATTTTAGAATAATACAACATATTGAGAAGCGGCAAACTTGAATAAAAATCAGCAAATTGTAGTGAGCGTCAGTGAGGAATAATGAATGTCGTCAAGTTGAACTAAATCTCACTCATGTGCATAACGGTCACTAATACTTCTTGATTTTATCCTTGCTGCAGAACGCCGAGTTTTCACGCTCATGAAACATTGTGACCAAGCAGCGAGCGCTAAGTTGAGAATATGTGGTGTGCTTCAGCCAGGCGCGGAAGTGTGTTTCATTCATTGTCATTGGGACGCATGTTCATTAAAGCACAAATTTGCGCAAAATATTCCTGCACGCCTTGGAATTCAACATTGCGGACAGAATGGGAGTCCAAAAAACCGTACAACTACGAGGACAGGCTTGCACGTGAACAATACCAGTTGAGCCCAAGAAGTTGGTGGGTGTTCACTGTTTCAAGCCAAAAACAACACGCATGCCGAAAAAGGGAAACCGGTACACGGAACTCGCTCTCCCCCCTTTTTCCCCCAAAGTGTTGCTCATTCCATTCTTTGCAAAAACGCTCCGGTCACTGTGGCCTTAGCGTCGAGGCGGCGAAGGACCAAGCATCTCAGAGTCTTTATTCCTGGCAGACATACACGCCACCCCATACCACTCAGCAGCAGCACAGCCGTAGTGCCGGGCCTCAAAGGCTGAATCCATAGCAGTTGTCAGCTGCGGGCGCATTGCAATGCCTGCCGGCAGGTCAGGCCACGGATCGGAGAGAAGGCTGTCCCTGGAATGCGAAATGGGGAATATCCAGCACAGGCCAGTAAGAGAGCTCGTCAGCATCAAGATGACATGGCACCTCCTTAGTCCACCCATAACAGGCCAAAATCTCAGGCCTATCTTTCTACTTACACATCGGATGCGAGAAGCCGATGAATTAGCGCCAACATGCACTGAGACTCCTGCAGCGGAGCCCACCACTGCAAGTGAAATCAAAAAAGAGAGAACAATGTACCCATAGCACGATCCCAAGTTTGAACCCGCACAGTCAGCAGAAAACACAGTGAGGCAAGCGAAAACCCAAGGTGGCTGCGCCTGCTGCAGTCACTGCCGGCAGCATACCGCTGGTGGCACGCAATCGCTTAGGGATTGGGGTCGCCCAGACGGAGCGCAGAAAGGCCGGAAACAGGCCTGTACTGTCAACGGAGTAGCAGTCGGCCGTGATGCTCAGCGTGTCGTCGCCGTTGGCGCAGCAGAGAGAAGATGCAGGTTGCGAACGACGTTGCTTCCGCGAACGAGCTCCCAAGTTGTGAAGCCCGCCCAGGCCGGCGCGTTAGCAATTCCGCCGCAGGGCGGCGAGCTCCGCGAGGATTGCGTCGAGGGCGCTCTGGAGCGTGGTCTCGCTGGCGGAGAGCGCGGCGTTCGTTGCGTACAAGGCCAGCAGCGTCGCGTCGGCCTTGGCGCCCTGGAGCGCCGAGATGCTGGCGTCACGGCTAGCAAGCTGCGCCGCGACGAAGGCCTCGGTGGCGAGACCCAGCAGGGCATTTGCTATCTTGGTGTCTACCTCCAGCGGCGTGTCCAGCCCGTCCACCGCGGAGAGCAGGGCGGCCAGCGCGCTGGCGTCCGCCTTGCCGACGACACCGGCGTCCAGGGCTGCCGTGGTGACTGCGCCCAGGAGGGCGGCCGCTATCTTAGAGTCCACCTCCGAGGAAGTGTCGACGGCCGACAGCACACCGTACGCAGTCAGGGCGCTGGCGTCCGCCTAGGCCAGCGCTGCGGCGGACACGACGCCCAGGAGAGCGTTGGCCACCTTGGTGTCGACCTCCAGCGGCGTGATCCTCGCAGCGATGTCGAGGGAGTGCTGGTCCACCACCGTCTTGAGACCGTAGTTGGCTGCCACCGTGGCCAGCGCGGCGTTGTTGGCCGAGGCGATGGTGCTGTAGTTCGGCAGCTTCAGGTCCACGCCGTCCAGGGTGCTCTTCGTGGCCACCACGCCCTCCAGCACGTCGAAGGCCGACTGGTCGGCCTTGTGGGAGAGACCTGTGGTCAGCAAGCTCTGCAGCGCTGCGATGCTGCTGCCGTGCGCAGCCACCTGCCCGTCCGTGGCGGCCAGGGCTGCTGCCCACTTCCTTTGCAGAGCGCACTTCCTCTTAGAGCGCACTTCCTCTTCTTTGCAGAGCAGACTTCCTCTTCTTTGCAGAGCACACTTCCTCTTCTTTGCAGAGCACACTTCCTCTTCTTTGCAGAGCACACTTCCTCTTCCTTGCAGAGCACAATTCCTCTTCTTTGCAGAGCAGACTTCCTCTTCTTTGCAGAGCAGACTTCAGCATCTTTGCAGAGCACACTTCCTCTTCTTTGCAGAGCACACTTCCTCTTCTTTGCAGAGCACACTTCAGCATCTTTGCAGAGCACACTTCCTCTTCTTTGCAGAGCAGACTTCCTCTTCTTTGCAGAGCAGATTCCTCTTCTTTGCAGAGCGCACCGGCAGAACAGCCATCATGCCCACACGGAAAGCAGACCACCCGCTCAGGCCTTGGCTCTTCGCCTACAAGCGTAGCGCCTAGCCCGACCTGAGCTCCACGTGGCTGGCATCACGCTTGCTTGGACACAACAACCTCAAACTGATGCCTCTCAGTCACAGTGGACACTTGCAAAGCCTCAACTGTAGACAAAGGCCTGTGCCACAGGAACCCCAAAACGCTCCCAAACGCGGAACCTTTCACGCAACAGCCTGGCACGCAAAACGCGGGCGTGTGCTGGCAAAGGTCAGCCATTTCCTCAAACCGAGTTGCACAAGAATGGTTGGAAGACGTGTTCGGTTTAGCGCCAAATCGTGTACACAAAATGACAACAGTTTTCTGGAGCCGGATAGACACGGTAGGATTGTTGCGGCAGGCTGAAGCAACAGCAAAACAAGCAACAACTCCCTGCAAACAAAAAGGTCTCAGCTACAAAGACAAACGTCCGGGCTGGAGGGTCACCTGCAAAAGCAAACTAGCTTTGGGCTTAGGTTTTTTCCGCGCGCACCGCTGCAAAGTCAAGGCCTGCCTGCTGTCCTGCGGCAAGCTACGACTGCTGCACTTGCAGCGCCCAACTAACACGCTGACAGCGTTGCCGTCAGCAAGTCACGCCTTACGCACCCAAGCACACAGACGCGACGCCCCTACACTTGCTGTTGCCGGCGCAGTCGGACGGCGCCTCCTCGACCTTCACCCAACTCAGCTGTTTCTTACCCAACGCAAACGAAAAACGTTTCTGGCCTGGGCCTCAGGAATTCTGCTCGAAGTGTCTTTCTCCGCTTTCTCTTTTGCTGCCAACAACATCCCCAAGTCGTCTGCAGACAACCCCTTTGCAGCCTAGTCCGACCAAGGCAACTCAAAAGACGTCACACAACCAAGAAAAAGCCGCGCCTTCAGTCACGCCTCCTCAGCATGTTCCGCTCCGCCTTGGCCGCCTTGCTAGCCTCCTTCTTCGCGTTGGCTCTGACCACCTTCAACTTCTCGATCTCATCGCAGAGCAACGCCTCACACGATGGTCTGCTGAGTGACAAAGGCAGCAAACTTTTCGAAGCCGACAACACCTCTCAAAAGCGGCTTCGCACAGAGGGGCCTCCGCAGTTGAAGTTGGGATCAATCCAGAGTGCGGACAACCTTCCCCCGGAAAGTTCGCTGGCGCAACCGGCACGGGCGCTGCCGCTGCCTTTGTGCGGTCTTGCCCCACAACACACACGAGTCATAGCTCAAACGGGCTCGCCGCGGCATGACTTGGCGAAACTCTTGCTCCGTAGGAGCGCAGCACTGAGCAGCGGCGGCTGCTGCAAGCCCAGATCACGACATAGGTGCGCAGACATAAGCCTTTGGTGCGAGACAACGCCGTCAGCTTGGAAAGCTTGCTGCCAAGATCTGGGCATGACTTCCTGTATTGTTTGGCATATGACTTCCAACCACGCCACAGTGTTCACCTCTCCACCGGCGGTGACTACTTCAGCGGGCTGCCGTGTCATGTGGGAGAACCTCGGCTGGCTGCCGTGT